AGAAATAGGAAAAGAGATACCTCTTTGTCATGTTTCCGTCGAATTATGGTAACACGAGGGGATGTTAGGTAGAAACTTACGACAGCAGCAGAGCTTCCACAGCTGTGTAGACGTGTTTCCATATTATAGTATCATGGAGACAAGAATTTCATTTGAGGGTTTTTCATGCAAATATTCAAAACGGCATTGGAAAGGGATTCTTTATAGTCTGATGCTGAGAAATACGAATGAAAGTTTGGGATAATGTGAAAAACTGTGGGAGCATGAGACGTATAAGCAAGTGTTTTCACTTTAATAGAAACGCAAAGAAATTGTTTTCTATTTCTTATGTTCCATGCTGTGTGACGAATTATGTCATGGATGTAAATCATCATTTTGTAGTTAGCAAGAACTGCATTGTCTATAGATTGGTCACATTGTAGGAAATGTAGAAACTGAATTGTAATAGGGTACTGTACTGTACGTTAGTAATGTAAGTTTAACAAATTGACGTCAGTTTTTTTATGCGTCTGTCCTCTTATTGATGATAAATTGCGTCATAACATTGTTAAAGTGGCTGTGGAACCACGAGCCGCGCGCAGACGAGTGGTTCCGCAGTAAACTTTGACAATGTTACAAAGAAATTTATCATCAATAAGACAGACGCATAAAAAACTGACGTCAATTTGTTTTTTTGCAATAACAAGACCCCAGAATGGTGAAATGCCCGGAATAAATTAGGGAAAGAGACGCCGTAAACTTGGCTTAAACAAAGATAAGTGAATTTTATTCAAAATGACGCGAACACTGTCAATAGCTTTTCTCGATTTTTGATTGGCTACTTAAAAAAGTCCACAAAATCTCATTGGTTAAAAAGTTGACAGTTTGACAGCTGAAAGTTGAACTTGAAAGCTTGCATAAATTAAAATTTTATCCGTCTGTACTCTTATTGATGATAAAAATAAGCCAATCAGCGCGCGAGAAATTAGACAGTTATTGTAAAATAAGCTACTTACCTGGCTTGGCCGAGCCGTATTGGGAAATATTGGTCCTCGGTCGTTTATGTAGCCTGTATTACTATTAGCAATAGGACAGAGTGGAGTACAATTCAGGGAGTAATCGGGCGAGTAGTTTCACTTATTTGTAGTTCAAAGCTCAAATTAAGTTGGCAGCAAAAATTTGTCTGTTTACGAGAATCACGTGATCAAAAGGAATTCTATCAGTATCTAATAATATGTAACAAGACTAATAGTTAATAACAAACAGATGAGTCTGCGGGAGAGAGGGAGAGGAAAAAAAAAGCCATTTTGTGTTTGACGGCCAGTTTTTTGATCAAATTGATGGTGTTGCCATGGGCGCCCCTTCGGGTCCTGTCTTGGCCAATATTTTTATGTGTCATTTTTAGGAGAAGTGGGTGATGAATAACAGTGCTCGTCCTACCATTTGGTTCAGATACGTTGACGACACCTTCACCTTATTTGACAATAAGAACGCTGCTGTTAAATTTCTCTCTTATCTCAACGACCGACATGTCAACATCAAATTTACCACTGAATTTGAACAGGATCACGAACTTCCATTCCTTGATGTTCTTGTCAAACGCCATAACAATTCATTTTCAACATCCATTTACCGTAAGAAAACTTTCACTGGCCTTTACACGAAATGGGACTCCTTCACACCTCGCAAGCAGGGTTCGAAAAATATTCGAATTCCACCTTGCCCGTTGGGCAAGTAACTCTCAAATTTTGCTTGCCCGGGGCACTTCCCCGCTTGCCCAAGTTTTCAAAATCATTAATAATTCATGACCCAAAAATGGAAGTCAAACTACAGGCGTGTTTTAATGTAATAAACCCACCTTAACTGTAGTCCTCTTAGTGCTGATCACTTTCATGTTTACGCCATTATATTGTAATACTTCCAGAACTTTAAACTTCTTCATTCCGCTTTTATGAAGTTGTACGGTTTGTTATAATTAACATGGATGAACACACTGTTATAATCAGATTGAATTTTCGAACGTGTTAAAAGAATGTCATCAGGAATGAATAAGTTGCCAGTAATCGGATCCCGTGTTTGCGCGAAGAACTCTGGGATCGTCAGGGGGCAAACATTGCTAGTCGCTAAAAGGAAATGTATGGCGAAAAGTTGTTTCGAGGTACAAGAAAACGATTTTTGAGAGGCATCAACGCTTTTTCGCCGTCGTTTTTATCGCAAATGGATTTGGGCAATGTTAATATGTGGAATATGTAAGTTTTTCTTTGAATAACCGTGAAATATGTG